AGCTAAGAACAGCTCAAAATTCCTGACAGTTGAATAGTACAGTCAAATGGGCAGAGCCTAGGCTTTCTCAGTAAAGCCTAAGGCAAAGCGCTTCTATGCTTCAGTCCACACTCTAAAAAAATGCCCCCCCCCCCCTCGCCTTTTGTGTCAAATTTTGAAGAGAACAGAAATCTTGGAACATAATGAGGTGATGTAGTGGAGTGCCCATTGGGGGATCAGATCGGGTCGGGTCGGGTCAGTTAGCAAGCCAGATTGAGGACGCAAAGTGGCTATCGTGGCACAAATCGATCGCGCCTGACTCGTCGCCCCAGAAACAAACGCGTTTGTTTTTTGGCGACGAGTCGGTCGATCGCCCCTGTCCCAACCCGACTCGACCCGACCCGACCCGACCCGATCCCATCCGCAATGGGCACCCCGTATTAGCGGCAGGAATGTGGAAGGCCTTAATCAACTTCCGGGTCAAATTTGAAGAAGTGAAACGAAGACCAGTTTAATAAAAGTGTGCACTGGCACCACTATCAAACGGTCAGTATATTTGACAAATTAAAGAGTGCTGACAAAATGAGTCAATTTTCGGATTTTAACCCTGCGGACACAGAAACGTAAAATAAGTTTGGTTTGTATGATTTATGATATGAAATGATTAAAGACGCGTTTAGCTTGAAGAAAATGGCATCGGCTTAAAAAAAACCCAAAAAATTGATGTGTATATTTCGGTTGACATCTACATTCGTGGATTGCATGAAGTATCTCCTTTTGTCGTCACTCCTAACAAAAAAGTATCCACTGGTCAAGATAGTGTTGCCCCTCCCCCTCCACTATCCCAGCTATTTGACAGCGGTGCATCACTCACACTCATTCGTTGTTACAGTACAGCAATAATTTCCCACTGTCTCGGCGACTGGCATAGCACCGTTGCGAGTTTATTTCCAGAACATTGTTTTGAGGTAGAGTTGGTGTGTGTGTGTGTGTGAGTGTGTGTGTGTGGGGGGGGGGGGGCGGGGGGGAGGCAATGTGTGTGTGTGTATGTGTGTGTGTGTATGTGTGTGTGTGTGTGTGTGTGTGTGTGTGTGTGCGCGCGTGCGCATGCTCACGCACCCTCGTGTTTAGGATTAATAGTCTAGTGTGCTCTAAGGATGCATGCGACGTTAGTGGGAGTACTTTTGTTATTTTTGTGTTGTATTTTGGTAATGTTTTATACCACTTTTTGTTTCTAGCATAGCATGTACCATTGTATATCTATGCTGTCCTCCCCAACCCCCACCCCCATTCCAATAGTTAAATATAAAACAGACACAACTTAATTGATAAATAAAGAAATGATCTCCATTCGCTCGTGCACAGGACGATTAATAGTCGGATAAAAAGAACAAAAATCTCCCATATATGTGCTATATATGACATATATAGTCTAAAAAGCACACACACACACACACACACACACACACACACACACACACACACAGATAGATATATAGATAGATAGATAGATAGATAGATAGATAGATAGATAGATAGATAGTTGAATAGATAAATAATATATATATTTATATATGTGTATATGTACATTGTATATATATATATGTTACAGTACGAATACGTACCTAGTGAATACGCGTAATCACTGAATATTTTAGTGAATACACGTAATCCCCGTTTCACTCGGGGGTTTCACGTAATCACTTAAATTTCTAGTGCTTACGCGAAATCCCTAAAATTAGACCTATCATTTTACGTGTTTTTACTACTGAGCATTCAGTGAATTCACGTAATAGTCCCGCCACTGAACAGGGATTACGCGTTTTCACTGAAATATTCAGTGATTACGCGTATTAACTAGATTGATCTACGTGTTCTTACTGAACATAGATATGCCAGCTGGCAAACAAGGAGACAACGTTTTGGTGCCAGTTCCACTTGTTGATCGAGGGAGAGGCGATCCTAGAAATATCCTTGGTATCATAATTGACAGACAAGAAGATAGCCGTAAAAGCTTTGTTTGTATTCCAGAAATCATTTCGATCTGTGCCCTGAGCGTCTTCTGAACACTGCCGACATAAACACCGAAAAAAGTTTCACTGCGTTCGGCGGTGATTTTTCAATCCTCTCCAGGCGGACAAGGCTTTACAAGATGCAACTGTACTTGTGCCAAAAAGTGTAGTTCAAGGCGATGTAAATGCCGTAAAGCAGGTCTTCAGTGTAATGGCAGCCTCAATTGTTGTAACAAGTGACGACGTCGATGGATTTTAGTCTTAAGTTTTTAACTGAAAACGGAAACAACAACAACAACAACAATGGTGTCTGCCTTTTAAAAAAATTAAATGCTTTGTTTTTAGATTGTGGCGCAGGTGTGTGTATGTTTGTGTGTATGTGTGTGTGTATGTGTGTGTATGTGTGTATGTGTGTGTGTGTGTGTGTGTGTGTGTGTGTATGTGTGTGTGTGTGTGTGTGTGTATGTGTGTGTGTATGTGTGTGTGTGTGTATGTGTGTGTATGTGTGTGTGTGTGTGTATGTGTGTGTATGTGTGTGTGTGTGTGTGTGTGTGTGTATGTGTGTGTGTGTGTGTATGTGTGTGTGTGTGTGTGTGTGTTTGTTGTGTGTGTGTGTCTGTGCGTGTGTTGTGTGTGTGTGTGTGTGTGTTGCGTGTGTGTGTGTGTGTGTGTGTGAGAGAGAGAGAGAGAGAGAGAGAGAGAGAGAAGGGAGGGAGAAAGAGAGAGAGAGAGAGAGAGAGAGAGAGAGAGAGAGAAGAGAGAGAGAGAGAGAGAGAATCTTTTACTGAACAGACTATTTAAGCAATAAAATTTTGCATGTGCCTCATCATATTTTAGAATTTTTAAATGCTTAGTTTTTAGATTCTGGAGCATGTGTCT